CTAATAATAGAGTGGGTACCTGAGGCTGCACCCCACCATCCTTGATCTGACAGGTATACAGACACTTCTGGTCTGGGCACCTCATGCTGGCGTACATCCGAGTACTGCAGTAGCCCACAGGGTAGATGGCACTCTCATCATGGAAGCCAGGTCGGTCGGTGATGATCTATAAAAAAGATTCCCCCAATCTGCGACTGAGGTCACTGGAGAATCCCGAAGTCCAGTGCACCATGGTGGCCTTTCAAATCACTTTGGGGCTGCAGAGAGTGACTCAAATCACAGAGAGAAAGCGTGTCGGCTGCACAGTGGACAAAACTGACCTGGTTTCCTAGGGACTGGAGACTTTCTGGGGTTGGTGTGGATCGGCAAGGGGCTGCTGCTGATGGGAACAGGGAGGGCAGGCTCAACCCCATTCCCATATTTCTGATTCTCCTCTCTCTGTATCGCTGGTCTCACTCACCTCCCCCAGGCTATATACTGTTAGACCCCCCAGTCCGATGGGGAACACAGGCCGTCCTGAGGGATCCAGGGCAATGGGCTGAACCAGCTTGCGAGCACCTCCCTCCATTTTCTTTTTCTTGGATGTTTTCTTCAGAACTGAAACGCAAATCTGGGGTCACCCACTTTAAGCCCCTCTCAATGCTGAGGGGAAGGGGAAAAATTTACACATGAATGCTAAGAGCAGTAAGCTGATCCTGTTCTGTACACTCACTGAATGGGCACATGGGACTTTTCCCCAAAGCCCGGAGTACCTTTCTAACCCACCCACCTGGCAATGGCTAATTTCAGTATCAGCGCTGAGGACCTAAGAGCCTTGCAGTTTTGAAGCTTCTTCATTTATCAGATCAGAAATTTCCCATGCCATCCATGTGCTCAAAAGGCCACCTAGCCCATTTCCCTGCCTCCAGGAAAGACTGAACTGAAGGCAACACAGAGAGCCGGGGGTGTGGGAGAAGGGGAGGCCTTAGCCTGCTCCCTTCCACTGAACCAGGTCTGACTAGAATTCCTCCACCCAGAGTGGCTCTACTACACCTGCTTTCCAAGGGCTATTAGGGCTGCTAAGGGACCAGATGAGGGTTTAAGCATATCTGTGGCCGTGTGTGTCTACCAGTTAGTACTGGGTCTTTGTCATTAGTTGTGGAGCCACTGGGGCCACTGATATCATCTCCCCAAGGTACCTTCCAGTTTGTTGTTCTCTTTGCCTTTTTCTTTTTTCTCCTTCTTGGATTTCTTCCCAAATGGTTCCTCAGCCCCAGAGCTGGGCACAGACATGGACCCAACTCCCTGGACGGTCCCCACAGAGTTGGCCACACTGTAAGTCAGGGGCACACTGGAGCTGTGGGAAGGAGCTGCAGCCTGTACCTCCGCTTCGGTTAGAGCCTGAAGCTGGAGGAGCTTCTTTAGCAAATACCTGAGGTTGGGAAGGAGAAGGAGCATAGGTATGGGTATGAACTTCTCTTTTATCTCACTTCAGTATTACTTCAGTACTGGAAAAGCCAGAATTATATACAGATTATTACACTCATAAAAATAAGGTTCTTCTTGGACCCAGGTGAATAAGAGGCTCCAGGGGACACTGCCTCGAGAAGCCAAAGATCAGGGCTGAAGTTTATCTCTCTTGCATCTGGAGGGCTCCTCTACCTTGATGTTGAGAGGTATCATGCTTCCGAAGGGCATGTACCACGATCTGATCTGCTCATGTATGAGTTATATACTCCCAGTGTGCTTTGCACAGAATACTGCATACTGAATAAATATCTGTGGAATGAGAGGTAGTTTCTTTTATCCCTTGACTTTTGTAACTGGGTAGTTACAAGAAGATAGCTTATCAGATGTGGCAAGAGGGCCGTGTCAGAAAGGTGAATAGAGGCACTGTCTCATCACCATGATCTAACACGACTCGGGTAAGTGGGAACCAATACCAGAGACTGTGAGTTTCTCTGTACTTGACCAGAGCCAATAGGCTGTGTAATGCATAAAAATCCCACTGGGAAAAATCTACTGACCAGTAATACCCTATCAACCACTGAAAATGGGATTCTGAACACAACATGAAGGCAGCTCACCGTCTTTCTTCTTTTGCTTTAAGAAATTTTTCCTCCAGACGAGCAATTTCATCACAAATAGCAGCATTTTCCTTTAAGAAAAGTGTTTTGGATATAATCACATTAAGAGAACAGAAGATCAAAGTATTATGCTGGGAAGAGAAGCTATATTTCAAACCAAGAAGTCTGTGTTGCTGGGTGAGAAGAACAAGTTAGTCTAATTTGAAGACCAACTATTAAGAAAACCTACAGGTAAAGGTAGAGTCAAATTCCATTATGGGCAGGGTCATTACATAATTTATTGAAACTGGGGCAACTCAGAGTGAAAAAGGGGTGCTTTTGACTATTATTCCGGTACAGTATGGTAGACTGGGGTTGCCCTAAGCAAACCAAGATGTATGATCACGATACTAAGGGTTAGACCTTGGCAGAGAAACGCGCATACTGCTTAAATCCATATAGGCTTAAATTTAATCCTTACAAATATGAGAAATGTCCGTTCCCAAGTGCCTTGATTCTGTGGAGCTAACAGCTCCAAGCTTTGCTAACCCAAAGCAACCGTACAGTATGAACCTTAAAAGGACAGCTGGACAGAATAAAATCAACTCTGGTATGCAAAATTCTTAAACTTCACAATCTCCTTATGTGCATCCAAGCATCATCTATGACTTTCTGACTCAACCTATTTCCCAAGCATCAGTTGTAAAGGAAATGCTCTCATCTGGATATTCCACAAGTGAGACCTCAAACTTTGAATGTTCAAAGCAATATCCCTTTTCTTCACAAAGCCTACTTCATGTACCTGACAGAATCAATGTCCTAATAACATAGACTTCAGGTAGCTCTGACATGTAGAGGATACAAGAAAATGAACAGTCAATTAAGTATCAAGTCCTCTTAATTCTACTTTTTTCATTTCCCTCCAGTGCACACAGCCAGTGCTAAATAAATGCTTTTGGAATGAATGTTCTAATTTCCAAACCTTTCCTTGTGCTACCAAAAAAGCAGGGATATGTTCAAAAGTGTGGTTGAAAGAAGAGGTAAGGTGGTGATTCAGACATGGAAGCCCACTTGAGGACTCCATTCCCTATTCCCCAGCACTGAGGCAAGCTTGAGCAAGCCAGCATGCTAGAACACAAAGTTGTGGCTGGCTGGCCAGTTCACTTAGTCAATACACTCAGTACCTCCAAAATAAAATAACAGAAGAAACACCTGAGAGACTCAAGAGGTTAGAAGGGTGTTGGTGGAGAATTACTGAAAGCTTCTTGAGCCTGTTGAGGGAAGAGGTCAGTTATGCGTATTTGGGGTGCTTGGGAAATAGGCTGTGGAGTGGAAGTATTAAAGGCAGTAGGACCAGGAATCAAGGCGGGCACACAGCGCCCTTATACGTCATCTCTTGGGGTCTCGGTGATGCCATTTTTAAAAACAGTGCCTCGCTCTAGGGTTCTCTTGAAAATAAAACGTCTTTCCAAGAGTTTCGTGGTAAGAAGGATGACAAACTGGCACATGTTCTAGATGTCAAGCACTTTACTTTCCTCAAAATAAATCTTCACGACTCGGAAAGGTGGTTGGCTCTCTTCGGAAAACAGAAGAGTGGAGAAATTAGCTAATGTGCCCAAGGACACAAGGTTAACGAGAAGTAACGTGTACCGCAAAAGCTAACACTACGGATTCGGCTACTCTGGGAGGGGGACGGTGTGGGGAAAGATTTCGCGCATTAGGAGTGTCGAGGCGGAGAAGGGCCGAGCGACACTCAGACTCACAAACACGGTGGCTTTGGCCGCTTTGCGCAGCCGCAGGTACTTGAGCCGGTACTTCTCGTTCTGGCTCTTCTTCGGGAGCTTTTTCATCCTGGCCTTGGTGGACTGCAGCGGGGCCCGCGGCGAGGCCGGGCCTCCCAGCAGGCTCATGGTCCGGCCCCGCTACGGGGCCTCCAGGGAGCGGCCGACATCGGCTCCCAGGCCGAAAAGCGCCAGCTTCGTCTCTTCTGGGCTTCCAGGGGCCGGCTTCAAGGAATCTACTCCTCTAGAACTTTCCCAAGGCGGACGGCTGGACCAGAAGACCGGCAACAGACATCAGGCCGCCGGGCCTCCCAGCACTTCCGCGTCTGCGTCGGAAGTAAGCCCCTCCCGGAAGTTACGTAACGGCGCCGGCTGCGTGTAACTTCCGGAGCCGTCAGCCTGGGGCGGTTTGTGATCAGAGGTTTGGAGCAGGGAGGCGTGAGTGCAGGCGGCGAAGATCACCCTCGGTACCTCGCCGCTGGGTGCTTAGCTGAGGAGTGTTACTGTGCAGCTGACATCTAAAAGCCCCTAAATCTTCGCGGCACGAATCTCACACACGCTCCCCCCAGCCCACTGCGTTTCAACTCGTTTTCCACACCGTCCCAACGTAGGTCTTCCCAAATTGTGGGACGCACTTGAACGCCTGTGTTGGCACTGCGGCTTTCCAGTATTCAGCTCGCTTATAGGTTTCCCCAGAGCCCATGAGGCCGAGGTTTTACTAGGATCTGATCTGGGACAACACTGGTGAATAGAAAAAAGTCTTCTGCCTCCTCAAGTTAGACTCTAGAAAGAAAGACAAGAGTTTTTATAACAAACTAGCACTAAGTAGGCACTCAGTAAATGTTTCCCTGATGAAACAAAAAGTGTGTGTCTGGACCTATACTTATATTTATTTAGCGCTAACTCTATTTTTTTTTTTGAAATTAAATCATTTTTATTGCTAGAAGTTAATTGACAAGTGTTAAAGAGAAAAATTCACAATTACTATTAAAGAACTGAAGGCTTGGTATATATAATTTAGGAATTGATACTACTCACATAACTGTTCAGCTTTAGGTGAAGGTTAACAGAAAGGGGTTCTTACACTGAAACTAAAGATTAACATGATGTATTATTTTAAATTAAAATATTTAAACCACTGTGAAGAATTACATGCCTCTTAGCTAATGTTATAATTGTATCATATTATTTAGGTTCAAGTTCTTCCTTCAAAGAGTCATCAGAATAACATGGATTGAAGAGACTTTCGAACACTTGCCATCTCTTGCTGCTGCTTTATGAACTGCTCATATAACTGTCTGATTGTTTTCAGTCTCTGGCTCTGAACAATTCTAGATTGTTGAAAAACCTTTTGTTGCTGTCGAAACAGGTTAGCTAGTTTTTCTTCTTGTTCCTCAGCTTTCTGCACATCTAAATCCCACTGATGAAACAAAGCCAGAAATTGCTGAGAATACTCTTGGTTAAGCTTCTGCCTTTGCTCTTGTTGGGTTTTCCAAACATATTCAATTTTCTGGTTACTAGTTTTGAGAGAAGCCTTGGTATACATTTCCAGTCTTTTTCTCTTGGCAAGAAGAGCCTTGTTAATGTCAGCTCCAAATCTTTCCAGCATATTTTGTATTTCACCCCCCACATCTTCAAATATTCCTGCAGAAGTCCTTTTCTTCCCATGCTTATCAATTACTGGAGTCTTCCCTTCGGTGACATCCTCCTCTGAACCACTCATATCTTTTTTATCTTCTTTCTCAAAGTCATAGGCTCTTATGATCTGATCTTCCACTGATGTCTTCCCAGATTTCCCTCTATACTTTCTTCCAGACGGCACCATATTTAGATGTTTCCTCCGGTATCTGCTTGGCTGTCGACGCTCCTCTGAGGCAACTCCTATTTAGCGCTAACTTTGTAACCAAGGCCTATCTAAATCATCAAATAATTGGAGGTAGGCAATTTATAGGGGGCAGTATTGGTAAAAGCTCAGGTCTGGAAGACAAAAGGCTTGTTTTTTGTTTGTTTGTTTGTTTTTTCTTTTAAGTTTATTTTTGAGTGGCAGAGAGAGGACAGAGAATCTCAAGCAGACTCACCACTGTCAGCAGGGAGCTGGCAGTGGGGCTCGCACTCATGAACCATGAGATCATAGCCTGAGCCAAAGTCAGAAGAGTTGAATGCTCAAAAGGCTTGTTGTATTTTTATTCCAGCAATGTCAGCAACTAGGTGAATAAGCCTCTGCCTCACAGGTTTTTCTGTTTAAAACTGAATATACAATTTAGAATAAGGGAGGCTAGTGAGGGTTCTAAACTGTAAGGTACTTTACTGGTGTAAAATGTAATTACCATTATACAGTCAAAATGTTGACTTCTGGAGTTGTATATGGAAATTGAAGAAAATATGTACATAGTTAAAACAAATTCAGTGAATAGAGAAAACTGTTAAGCTAATGTGTGTAAGTAACTTACAATCAGAGTTCAAACAAAGGTATCGAATTGATGACCCAGGTATTTCATTTCTGATTACTGTACAAAATGGTTTCAACACAGAAGTCTTATGAAAGTTCTTTTATATCTTTCTATATTGAAAGCTGCCCTTGTTGCACGTGGCTGAGTTTTAACAGGGCACCTCCTTAGGATGCCAGTGTGCTTTCACAGACGTACTCCAGGCAGCCATAATAGATTCATTTTTGGAAACTGCCAGGAATATTTTCTGCCCACAAAATATCCACTATCAAATATCCACAATCATGCCTTTGCTAGTGTAGATTGGATCTTGGAACCTGAGAAAAGATAAGTGAGTGACAGGAAGAGATTGTCTTTTTTTTTTTTTTTTTTTTTTTTAACTGCGAATAGGTGCTCAGTTGGTTAAGTGTCTGACTTGGGCTTAGGTCCTGATCTCATGGTTTGTGGGTTCAAGCCCCACATCCGGCTCTGTGTTGACAGCTCAAAGCCTGGAGCCTGCTTTGGATTCTGTCTTCCTCTCTCTATGCCCCTCCCTCGCTTATGCTCTCTCTCACTCTCTCTCAAAAATAAATATTAAAAAATTAAAAAAAAAAAAAAACCCGTTTGCCAACTGCATGATATATTTGCTGTCCATCTGTATTTTGTCTTTGCAGGCTTTGTGATTTGACTTTATTTTTATTATTCCTCTTCATCTACAGGTTTCGTACCTGGTGGGAGGGTGTGTTCATTGCTTTCGTTTTCAAGCTGCTTTAGCCAATGAATTTCAGTGGAATTTGCATTACAATATTATTTTTTCTTCAGTAGAAAAGTTGCCTAACAATTTATAAAACATTTTGTGCAAGTTTTAGAAATTTAGAAAATATAGGGGCGCCTGAGTGGCTCAGTCAGTTGAGTGTCTGACTTCAGCTCAGGTCATGATCTCACAGTTTGTAGGTTCGAGCCCTGCATCAGGCTCTGTGCTGACAACTAGCTCAGAGCCTGGAGCCTGTCTTCAGTTTCTATATCTCCCTCTCTCTCTCACCCTCCCCTGTTCATGCTGTCTCTATCTCTCTCTCAAAAAGAAATAAAACATTTAAAAAAATTTTAAAAAAGAAATTTACAAAATATAGTACAAAGAAGATTTTTAAAAATCCACAGTGTTGCCACATAAGGTGAACCACTTTTTTTTTTAAACTTTTTAAATGTTTTTTATTTATTTCTAGGTGAGAGAGAGAGAGACAGCATGAGCAGGGGAGGGTCAGAGGGAGAGGGAGTCACAGACTCTGAAACAGGCTCCAGGCTCTGAGCTGGCAGTCAGCACAGAGCCCGATGAGGGACTCGAACCCACGAAGCGTGAGATCATGACCTAAGCAAAAGTCGGACACTTAACCGACTAAGCCACCCAGGCGCCCCAAGGTGAACCACTTTTAACATGTTAGTCTGTGTTTACTACCTTTATGCATTTTCATGTATGTTAATGTTTCCTTTTTGTTCACTATTATTATAATCATTTTGTGGTGTTATGATTTCTTTATAAGCATAATTAAAACTTTTTTTATTAATGTTTATTCTTTTTGGAGAGACAGAGCATGAACATAAGCATAATTTTAAATGAATGCTTACTATTCCAGTTATGGCATAATAATTTTACATGATTACTTCCATGTTTGGCTTTTCAGTCAGCAATTGCTGTGAAGTGCATCTCTGTGCACAAAGCTTTTCTTAATGTTTATTTATTTTTGAGAGAGAGAGAGGTACAGAGTGTGAGCAGGGGAGGGGCAGAAAGAGAGAGGGAGACACAGAATCTGAAGCAAGCTCCAGCCTCCGAACTATCGGCATGGAGCCTGATGTGGGGCTTGAACTCACGAACTGCGAGATCCTGACCTGAGCTGAAGTCGGACACTCAACTGACAGAGCCACCCAGGCGCCCCACAAAGCATTTTTAATACAAGATTATTTAAGGCCTGGGTCTGTGTGCTCCAAACAATGTAACGTTTTCGAGCAAAATTCAGTCACTTACTTATTCAGATGAATATTTGTTTAGTGACCACTATGATACAACCTTTAGGAAACTTATTTAAGAGGAAAAGGCAAAGGAGTGGGCAATATTCATACAGTGTAAGAATTTTTATCTCAGAGGTAGGTACTGAATGATATGGCAGCACACAGGGAACAGGGGAGGTGCTAGGGAAGCTGTCTTGCAGGAAATATGTCTGGGCAGACTTGGAAGGAGAGCAGGTAGTCAGCCAGTGGAGAACAGAGTAGGGCATCCTGGGCGGTGAGTCAGCATATTTGAAGGCTCAGCATCATGAGAAGCATGGGAGCAATGTAATTTTTCTGCTTACCTATATGAAGAAGGGTCTAAATGGCCTATACAAAAATTCTCTGAAGAGATATGCAGCTCTAAAAAGAAATATCAAATGAGAGACAGCATGGTATTGTGGCCTCTGAAGTCAGATCAAGGTGGCAGGCATAGGAATGGAAGTTAGAAGCTAAGATGGGGCAATAGAGGAGAGAGAGAAAGGGCCCAGCAGCACTTTACTGTCTTTCCCATTTAGGTCTAATGGTGACTATTCAGCGATTGGCTGTGAGTGGCGGAGGTGTGGCATCCTCGGGAGTATTAGAAGCACACCTGGGGCCCTCAAGAATTGTGAAGAAGCCCATGATCCCAGCGCTTGGTGAAGTGGTCCCTGGTTTAGATGATGAAAAACGCCTGTAGCTCCACCCCTACCTGATGCATGGCCCTGGCCTTGTTCTATGTTGTCCTAACCCCCCAGGGCAGGTAATAAATTCCTGCCTAGATTATCTTCTAGCACACTCTGCAGGCCATGCCGGGCCTGGGCAAGGTCAATGACTTTCACAAAGCAAGGTGGCAAGTTCCTAGGATTTCAGGCCACACCACAGGGTTTCCAGGGATTTCACATTTTTATTCACTTAGCAGATTGCCCTTTTGCTCTTTGGGTTGAGCTGAGTGTGCATTCCAGAAGGGCCAGGGTGTACATATACTGAAAAGAGCCTGCTTCCATAAATAGCTTTTAGCATCTTCTTTCCTTGTAGAATGTCTAGACTTCAGTTTAGTTTTAGGGGTTTTCCCCCCCATCCTCACAGAATGCTCTAGATCTAATTTTTTAGTTCTTTGACTCTTCAGCTCCAACTTTCAGATTTGTTTTCATGTGTTGATTTTATCTTCTCACCTTTAGGAAAACATGATACAGGATGTATGATTCAGCTGAATCCACACTTAGCATTTCTAAAGCGGGTATTTTTGTACCTTGGTGTGTGAGGCTTGTGAAGAAGGAGAGAGATTTTTTACTTTCCATAAATGTTCTTGCTCCATGGTTTCTTAACTATGGGTTTTCATCACATACCCGGTGGGTGAGATGTTTAGGTTTTGTGGGTTCTAAGCCAGCCAATAATGTCATGAAATCGACCACTGTGTCAATGTTGTGCTTCTGGGTGGTCGTGTCCTTCAAAACACATAAGACACTCAACCAGCTGAAAGAGATGAGTTCAGAGATGTTAGCGCGGAGGAAAAGAAGGATCACATTGAGATCATTGATGGGGCATCCCAGCATCTTTCTGCTGAGGAGATCGAAAGCTGGCAGCATCTCATAGACGGATAGGAGTCGCTTGTCCCACCGACAAAGTCGTGTGAGGTTGTATATTATCACTGGAACCAGCAGGGTGTATATTGTTAAGCTGGAGAGGCTAACAATTTGCAAAATGGACAGAGAGGTCAGCCTGCATGTGATCAGAGGGGGAACGTGGGTCTCATCACTTAGCAGGCCTGTCTTGACAGAACAGCTGAACTCCTCTTGGAAGAAGACATCCAGGTGGAAGTGGCCCAGGTACAGGTAGATGGCTGAGGTGAAGAGGAGCAAGAGGGAGTTCCTCAGGAGGTAGGTAGCCACCAGGGAGTGTGAGCGCTGCTTACATGCCAGGTACCGCTCTAGCAAGGGGAATTCAAAGTATCGTTCTTTCCGAGCCCTGGGCCGGGGAAGAAAGGAGGCAGGTTTAGGAGAGGCCATTTAGAACCATATCTGAGAGAGCCATGTGGGGAAGTAGTGGAATCTGTGGAGGCCACGTGGCATTGTTGGCTCCCATGAAAATCTGCCTTCCCTGAGCATAACCACTCCTCTCCCTAAAGAGCTGTGTGAGTATATCTTAGTTTTCCAACTGATGAGTGCAATGTGGTCAGCCTGGTGAATGATCAGTGAATAGCAAATGGTCACATTGGATTTCTGCCCAGCAAAGCAGACTAAACCTGTAAGTTGAAATGAGATCCTTAGGAAACAATAAATGTATTAAATTAGCACTGGACACAGGAGGCTAAATAACCACATTCTGGTGCTTGGTCTGTATACTCTGCATGCGATTTTTAGGCCAACCCATCCATTTATAAAAACAAATAGGCTAACAAGTATTTGTTGAGAGCTGTGGTGTTCAGGCACATGTAAGCCAGTCTCTGGTCTGAAGGCGCTTACAGTCTGGCTTGTGGGGAAGGGGCAGAGAAACTATGCAAATAGGAAATAAAAATAATGCTTGATTTGTTGCTAAAGTGATGGACACAAACTGTGGTCTTGTACAAGTTAGGAGAGAGGTAACAGCAGGGGCTGCAGTGTTCAGAAACCTTTATGGAGCATATTGCCTTGGAGCTGGCCTTCGAGCCGTGGGTGGAGTTCAGAAAGACAGACAGGAGAGGAACTTTTTTCAGAGGATAGAGAGTGTGCACACACACGAGACAGAATATGGTTTCAGATCTCAGCTCGGTGCTCCTGTTGGTGGAGCCTACCTTGGCTGTCCTATTTAAAATGGCACCATTCTACAGTCTTCTGGCTTTCCTGACCCGCTTACCTGGCTTTGCGTCCCCCATCCCCCATACTACTTACGTTCTGCCATATGATTTGCTATGTGTTGTGTTTATTTGTTGTCTGTTTCCCCTCTGTAGAGTGTGAGTCCCTATATGGGTAGGTAAACTTTTGTCCCCTCCCCACCCCTGCCTCCAACACACACAAGGCACACTGATGGGTCTGGAGCACTGGGAGCAGTGCCTGGGCCACAGCAAATGAGGCATGAATGGCTCTTTGGGCAAAGAGGAGGAGACTGCCTGGGTAAAATGAGAAGTTTCTGTCACTTGGTGGTCAAGGGTGTGAAAAAGTAGAGGGCCTCAGGAAAATACTTGGAGAATTTGTTGTTCCCTACAGGCCTGAGGGGAGGTTCTGAGCAGGAGAGTGGTATTTGAAAGCGGTACATTAGAGAGATTAACCCCTTTGTGACACAGGATGTTCATCTGTGAACTAAGGAAGAGTCCTTTCTGTCCCCCTTGTACAGAAATGATGGAAAGTTAGTGAGATGATGTGTTCAACACTTTGAGAAGGATGGTATAGACAATAGTTTGACGATGACCCTGTGTGACATGCTAATGCTCAATGGAGGCCTTCAGAAAGGGGTGAGAGAGATAACTCACTTCTCCAGCTCATCCCAGAAAACATGGGGGTCTGAGCTCTTCTGCCGGATCTTCAACATGTGCTGCACCAGGCGGATGGAGCGATTGTAGGATTTGTCCAGCTCGCTGATGATGAAGAGCAGATCCGAGCTGAGGGCCGGTGCGGCTGCGTACTGCCACAGCAGAACAGGCAGGTACATGGCCACAGCCAAGGCCAGCAGGGAGTAGGGCAGGGCCTGTGGGGCGAGAGTGAGCTGAGGAGGGAGGCCTTGTAGAGAGAGCTCTCAGTGAGGGGGTCTCATTCCCTGCTTCCTGCCTCAGGAAGGGAAGGCGGTGCGGAGAATGAGCTACCACAGGCCCAGGACGGAAGGCTGTCTACTGACCTGGCCGAATATGGTGACACCCAGAGGAGAAGGGATGGATGGTGGATCTCCATTGTTCCCCAACTCCACTCCTCAGATCTGGGGTCTGTGTAGGTGTGTAGGACCCCAGGGAGGACAGGGGAGGGAGAGGGATATAAGGAGGGAAAGAGGGAGAGCAAAGGTGGGGGAGAGAGAGACAGAGAGAGAGACAGAGAGAGAGAACCACGAGAGCTCCTCTGTTGCCCATGCATGTTAGCCTGGGTCGCTAAGCAGAGATCATGGTCATGGCCTCACATCCTAGAGAAGAGTGTCTTCATTCTTGATCTTCCATCTCTCTTTCTTTGACTGCTCCAAGTTCTTATCACCAGACACCCAGAGTCCATTAGCTTTCAAAATCCAGCCAGGGGCCCCAACATTGCTGACTTTGGCTTAGACCCTCCAGAGAGATCAAATCTCACAGCCTCCATGCTGCCTTCCCTGATTCCTTTCATGTGCAGTAGTGTCTTCATCTCTGCATTCTTGGCCATGCCAAACGACACCACCGGGCACTGTCTTGAAATGCTTGGGGACTATTTCTGTTCTGTATGTATACAAGTTGACGTTGACAAATGTATGAGTCATGTGTCCTCAACTACACAATTTACCACCTGAGATAAGGGACTTTTCCTTATATTTCTTTATCACACTTACCACAGGCAACAGGGGCTGGGCTGCTATTTTACCCACAATAAAAACTCAATTTATTAAAAGGCTTTTTGAAGCTACATTTGTGCAAGGTGCTTAACATGCATTATTTCATTTGCTCTTCACAAAGATGCTATCAGGTAGCATGTGGGTCTGTTTTTTCAGCATTCCTGTTTGTGGCCCACCTGTATCCTCATTTTATTTATTTTATTTATTCCTTTTATTTTAGAGGAGAGTTTGAAGAAAAGGAGGGAGGATGCATATTTGGTTGCAGCTAGGTGGAAGAAAGCGCACGCGCGTGTGTGTGTGTTTCTGAACTAAACATGAGGCCATGTTAGGGAAACTATATTCATCCATGAGAAAAATTAGAACCTTTTCATTCCTGGTCTAAGAAATGGCATTTCTTGAAAATAAGCGTCACCCCCAGAGATTCTGTTTCAGCAGGTTCGGAGTGGAGCTAGCGAATCTGGGCTTAAAGAGCTCTCAGGCAATCTTGGTGGTCAGACAGTTTGACTCTTCTGACATTTGAATGCCGTTTGCAATGTCTTGACCTTGTCACCATCTGGATCCTGCGTGAACACTTCCATTGCCAGAGACCCCATGAACTCTTTCCATTAAGTCTGTGGTTTTGTCTGGGTCCCAGACCTGGGTGGCCTTTTGAGCGTAAATTGTCACCACTTAAAAATGTCACGAGTGACTTCCAATTCAACATTGTGAATTGGATATACACGTGACTTCTGCTCCCTCACGAAGCCCCACTAGAATGACAAGAAAGGGATAAAAAAGACATAATTCTCCCTGGATGAGGAAAACGGGAGACAAGAGCAATAAAATGTTGCAAACTGGAATGCAGCTGTCTGCTAGGAAATAGTAGCCGGGGGGCGGGGGGGTGCGGATGGGAGTTGAGGCGGGCCAAGCAAGCTGTTTTTGTACCACAGACCCAGAAAGACTCAGGAGTTGCAGATGTGAGGTACATCTGAAAATGGGGGTACAGCTGGGGCTGAAAACAGGATTATTGAAAAATAGACACACAGATCTTCCCTATAAAATGATGCACTTGTCAAGTGACTGCCCTTTCCACCCAATCTTCCTGTGGTTTACTCTTTGGAAACATAAAACCAAAGAGTTTCTGCACTTGGGTCCGTTGAGGGCAGGGGCACAGCCCTGAGAACCACGTTAGCTGAATGAATACTGAGTGCTGAGACCCACAGTGGATTTCCTAGCGGGTTAGTAACTGAGTTTAGTACCAACTGCCACCCTGCCTCACTCTGCGCAAATTAAGGATCCAGTGATTCTTTTTGGGACTCAGTCCAAGAGAAAGGATTACAGATACCGATATCTGAGGTTTTCCCAATGAAATGGCCTGAAGGGTTCACTGTAAGCAGAAGGCTGCTGGTCAACCAGCCTCACCCCGAGGCACAAAGCTTCCAGTCAGATAAAAGCGGGCAACCAAAGATCACCAGACATTTGAAGAAACATGAGAATCAATGACAAAAAAAAAAAAAAAAAAAAAGCAAGGGGTGAGGTGGCAAAGAGGCAAGAGAGAAGATAATGATGTGGTCTGGCCTGCTCCACCCAGCCACGAAGCGGCCTGATGGAGCCCAGCCTCCTTTACCTTGTGAGGCCACAGGGATTTCATCTTGTACTGGCCAAGCTCATCCTGTTCGTGGTGAACGAGTGAGTCCCAGCAGGAACCGTCCACATAGGCGGCCTGCCGGATGCTGAAGTTACTGGGAGAGAAGCAGCAGATGGGGGGCCCTGGAATAAGAACACAGCTTGGAGGCAGCCGGGAGTTGGGAGTGGAGGAATGGGGACCCAGAGGACCTCCAGCTGAGAGCCTTCCAGGGGTTGCTCCCAGAGCTCTCCCACTTTCCTGCTTTCTTCTTCGCAGGCCCCACTTCCAGCTTTTGCACTGCAGAGTCACCATAGGCCTGTTGGCTCAGGTCCCCCAGTGCCCTGGCTCTTTGACCTGGGCTCTTTCCTCTCAAAGCTCCCCCTGGACTCCCAGACACGCGGGCAGCAGGGGTGCCCCACACTCCTCGGGTTTGGTGGTGACTTCTCCTTCCTGAGAGAACTGGCATCTTTTAGGCTCTAAAGTTTAGAGGATGACTTGCCTGTACTTCTGAGCCCACATTGAAGGAAAGGGTGAGCAGGGGGTCCTGAGAGGGAAGGGGGCTCGGAGGGAGAGTTTTGTTTCTCCATGATTCTCTAGAGAGAGGAGGAAGTAGGAACCAGTAGCTCTCTCCATCTTGTGGAAGAACAAAGAGGCAACGGGAGGTTGACATACCTCCTTGGGAAACATAGTAAGCTAGTCATATAGTCAGGAAAGAAATCCAGAAAGCCCAGTCCTCAGGAAATCCACCTTTTCTTTAACAGAGGTAGGAAATTTGCTGAGTTAGTCTAGTGTCTAGAACACCAGATCTGTGTGTTTGTTAGTGTGTGTGTGTGTGTGTGTGTGTGTGTGTGGCCATGGGCTGTGGAAAAGAAGGAATGAATTTATTTAGCACCTATGATATGTCAGTCTTTTAACATATGTCCTTAAATCAGAAACCCTGGAGGTGGAGAGTAGGCAGAAGGCTCTGAGACAGTAAGAGACTCATCTAAAGCACGGCCGACTAGTACCTTGAGCGGTCCTAGGTCCTGAAAAGATTATGGAGACCCCATTTCTCTAAGTCCATATGAACATCAAAATAAAAGTTTAATTATTGCAGTGGCATACAATGCATGAATACTGAAATTAAAATGAAATATTTTTATTACAAAAGTTTGGAAATGGTTTTCAAAAGTTTTGGTGCGTCTGCTCTGCTGGTGCCCTAAATTCACGCACAGGCTGCCTTTTGGGTCATGCCCAGGCCCAAGTCATAGCACCTGGACGGCGTGGGAGCTGGCTCACTTTGGAGCCCGTGCAAAGAGTGAAAGAAAGCCAGGTCTCTCATACACTGGGTCTTGGAGGCTACTTACCGGAAGAGAACTCCTGGGCGAATGCTAGGGACATCAGCAGCAAGGGGAAGCCCACAGCTATGAACTTGACCAGGCGGTCCAGGGGAAGTTCCAGGCGCAGTCCTTTGAGGCGGGGTCCCCTGCGGTCGGGCAGCATGGCATCTGACAGCATGTACTCTGCAGCTGTGTGAGCGAGTGACATGGTCCCGCTGGCCTTTGGGGCGCAGAGGCCGCAGGAAGGGTCCCAGGACAGTGGTGTGAGAATGTAGCTTCGGGCAGCTGGCTTTGGGCAGACAGTGCCTGCAGCCCCAGCCTCGTGGAGATCTGTGCTCGGAGCAGGAACTGGTTCTCTAAATAACTGGCCAGGCCCAGAGCCAGGCATCTGGTAATTAGAGGGAGGCCTAGCTTAGTGGGTCCTCACTGGAGAAGGGTCGGGTGTCTGCTGGGGCTGGTGCCAGGCTGCTCTCCCTGGATTGGCCCTGAGCACATGGAGTCCCGTGGTTTTATGCTGCCCTCTCATTAATAAAGTATTTTTGGTTGGGTGGTGGAGAAAAGGAGGGTTGTGGAGTCAGGGGCCCCCATGTAATTGGTGTGGAATTTGGGTGGAGATTGCTTAAATGTGTCGAAGGCCCTCATTTTGTGGTTTGGGTGGGAGAGGAGCCCCCAAGACCCAGCTAAGATTGTTGCTCCTACATAGTATTCTTTGTTTTGGTGAGGATTTTTACTTTGGGCCCAGGCTTTTTCCCAGAAACGACTCTATATTTGCTGTTAAATGTCCTACAATGTTTCAGCCACATATTTACAATTTCTATATATTTATGGGTTTTTTTTTTAGACTCCATTGATTCTCTATAAGATGGGGGATGGGTGACAGTATTGAACAGTGGAAAGAGCAGGATCTTTAAAATTTGGAGGGAAAAGTCTCCTACTGAAGACCTAGCAGTACTCATTTTTTTAAATGTCTGACTTCAGGCAAGTCACTTTTGGCTCAGTATTCTCCTCTATCAAATCTTCTTAAAAGATTGTGGGGATTGACTAAGAGTATTGTACGTGAAAGTGCTTTTAAACTATAAAGTGTAGGGCAAATGTCAACTCTATTTCAGTTTGGTAGAGTTGGGTATGTGGAAAAGCAAACACTGGAGCATAGGGCACTCTTGTCTCTAACACTACTTCTAGACGTGGCAAAGAGAGGCCCTGACCTTGGTCTTCATGCTGGTTGCCTTTGGCTATACCCTTCTCACAGGCAAAGTGTCCATGGGGCTAAGGGGCTGTGTCCTTTCAGAGAACATGCACCTGCTCTAGACCACTCTTCTGGCACCTGAGACGCTGTGATTGCCCCTCCAGGTGGCCCCGCCCACCTTCCAGGGCCTGTACAGGTCTTTCCCTCAGGTGCATCCTCCCAAGGGTAGATCATGCTGGTGGTGTGCACTCCTGGGCCTAAGAAACGGCTTGTTGTGGGGATTTTCATAGAATTTAGAAGTTGTGGAATGCCCACACGTGCAATTGTGAGACTTCTTGCAATGTGTGACTTGGCTGGTTTGGGAAGAAGGGATCTGGGGAGTCTGGGGATTCTAAATTCAAAATTGGCATTCCAGACCATTATGAAGGAGTGTGTGTGTGTGTGTGTGTGTGTGTGTGTGTCAAGGTAGACAAACAGAACATATTTTACATGACAATTTGTTAGCTTGATCTATAACTTTAAAATGTATAGGTGCATGGTATGTGGCCTTCTATCTGAACTGTTTTTCCTGGGCTCACAAATGTTTAGGCCGGGACTGCCTCTCTCCCCATCCCCAGGCTAGAGGCCAACTCTGATTCAGAGCTGCCCTGTGTGTGCTAAATGGAATGAGCCAGGCATGGGAACAGGAGAAAAGATCCTTTCCTGTTCCACAATGGTATTTCCAAATTCCCATTTCTGTATCTTTTCAAAATGTGTGTTTTTGCCAGTGTTTATTATTGGTTTGTATGTATGTATTTTCTTTTGCCTAAATCAGTGTACATTTTGTCGAAGTATAATATACATACATTAATATGCATACATCATAAGAATAACATTCACTAAACTTTCTTCTGATCGAGAAATAGAACCTTACTAACACCCCTAGAAATGCTTCCTTTTTTTAAAAAAATAATGTTTATTCATTTTTGAGAGACAGAGAGGGACACAGCACAAGCAGGGAAGGGGCAGAGAGAGGGAGACACAGAATCTGAAGCAGACTCCAGACTCTGAGCTGTCAGCACAGAGCCCAACGTGGGGCTCGAACTCATGAACTGAGAGATCATGACCTGAACTGAAGTCAGACTCTTAACTGACTGAGCCACCCAGATGTGTCCCCCCAGAAGTACTTCCTAAGTATCATTTCCCAAAGGGTAATCATTATGCTAACTTCTGTTAACATAAATTAGTTTGTCTTCTTTATACTTTATAGAAATGGAATCATATGTATGTATTCTTTTGTGTCTGGCTTTTTAAAAAAAATATAATGTGTTGTCAAGTTGGCTAACATACAGTGTATACAGTGTGCTCTTGGTTTTGGGGTAGTTTCTCGTGATTTATTGCATACAACACTGGCTTCTTTGCCTCTACATCATATCCTTAATTTTGGGGTGGCTTCAGTTTGTTAAACTTTTGTTAAAGCTTTTGCATTTATATTTACAAAAAAGAGCAAGCTTGATCTAATTTTTCTCTCATGCAAGGGCTTTGGCACGTTATGCTGCCTTCACTAAACAAATTAGAGTGTTTCTTTGTCTGTTATCTGGGAATGTTTGTGCAAGATTGGTGTCAGTTCTCTCCACGAAATATTGAGAACAATTTATTGGTGAAACCAATCTAGGCTTGGGGTTTTCTTTGTGGTGAAGTTTTAGTTAATGGACTCAGTTTCCTTAGTAAATATTTAACTACTCTTCAGATTTTCAAGGCTCTCTTCTATTAACTTAAAAGCACTAGTTTTCTATCGCTGCATAAAAACCATACTCAAACTGAGAGCTAAAGCAACAAGCATATTATTTCATTTTATCTCCTCATTTGCCTATTGATGACCACTCATTTGCTGTTAGAATTTTTAGATCTTAGAACAGCATATACTTAACTTGTCTGAAGTGGTATCGTACTGCTCTCTACAAAGGCTTTGTTGCCCAAAGTTCATCTCAAAGATTCTGCAGATCAGAAGTTTAAGAACAGCCTAGCTGGGTTGTCCTCTCATGAGGTGTCAGCTGGGGTTGCAGACAACTAAAGGCTTCAGTGGGACTACAGGATTCAAATCCAAGCTCACCCAGTGATTACTGGCTGGAGTCTCAGTTCCTTGTTAGGTGTTGGCAGAGGCCTCGGTTTCTTACCATGTGGGCTTCTCTCCAGAGCAACATGACGGCCGGTTTTGCCAGAGCAGATGCTCCAAGAGAGAGAACAAATAGGCAACTGTGCTGCCTTTCATGACCTCACCGCTGAAGTCACAACGGCTGTTTTCTATTTTTTTCCTATTCAGTAGAAGGAAGCCATGAAATCCAGCCCATACTCAAGGGAATTAGGCTCCACATTTTGAAAGGAGTGTCAAAATAATTTTGTGGAATATTTGAAAACACTACAGGTGATTAGTTAAATTTTCAAGGAAATTGTCTATTTTTTCATCCAAACCGTCAAATTTATTTCACATACCAGTACTTATAATATCTTCTTATTAAATTGCATCGATATTTTATTGTGAAAACATTTAAATATAAAGCAAGGTTAAAAGAATATATAGTGAATATCTGTAATGCTTCTGCCATTAGCATATTTTACTCTGCTTGATTTTTTACACATCTATTTATCCATCCCTCTATCTATGAATCAATCTATGTTGTTTTTCTGGGCACATGTCAAAGCAAATAGCAAATATTCATATACTCCTCCCTAAATACTTCAGCATGCATATCACTAATTATACTTCTATATAATTAGTTTCTTTTTTGTTTAAAAAATTTTAATGTTTATTCTTTAAATTTTTTTAAATGTTTTATTTATTTCTGAGAGAGAGAGAGAGAGAGAGAGAGAGACAGCGTGAGCAGGGGAGGGTCAGAGAGAGAGGGAGACACAGAATCTGAAGCAGACTCCAGGCTCTGCGTTGTCAGCACAGAGCTCGATGTGGGGCTCCAACCCGAGAACCGTGAGATCATGACCTGAGCTGAAGTCGGACGCTTAACCGACTGAGCCATCCAGGTGCCCCCCCACTTTTTAAATTATTTTTTTTAATGTTTATTCTTGAGAGATGAGACCAAGCACAAGTGGGGAAGGAGCAGAGAGAGGGGGAGACACAGGCAGTTGTTTCTTTCAAGGTAAAACATACATACATTGATGCACAAAGCTTGAGCGTGCATACAGAGTTTGACAAATGCATACACCAGTGTAATCCACACCTACTCAAGATTAGAATGCTATCACTCCAGAAAATTCCACTTTATTCTTTTTTAAAGATCCTAGTTTTCTGGTGAAAATCTCCACACTTTAATTCACCCATCCTCTACTTTCTTGGTCCTATTAATCAGAGTTATTTTAAAAATCCTTGTTGCGAACCCCAGAACTGGGGTGATCTGTAGATCTGCTTCTGCTGTCTCCTTTTTGCATATGATCTTATCTCCTTGCAATTTTGCACTGTATGCTGAACACTATAGATAAAAGAACTGTAAGAACCAGAAATGCTCTAGAAAAGGCTATCTTTTGCCAGAGATGCTTCCTCTTTCTTTTGTCAGGCACACAGGGCAAGAGGCTGATCATTGAATCCTATCAGGGACTGAACCGAGTTAGGTCTGTGCTGGAGTTCTGGTAAGATTCGTTCCACACTTAGTTGTTTCTATTCTGAAAGCGTGATCTTTCCAGGTTTTTGATTGAGAGTTTTTTGGGTCCTTGTCTCTTAATCTCTGAAGGATTGTGAGAGGTTCTTTTATCGTCTTGGGAGATTTCAGCTTAATTCCTTAGCCTCCAACTATATATAGTTAGTCTCACAATCTGGCACATGTTTTGAAGGAAAGACGAATACGGCGAGTTTGTATCAGTGAGTTTAATGCAGGCTCACTCCCTGTGCAGTGTCTGTTTCCTAATGGCCATGAGTGTAGGAGATTTCACTTTTGGTCTAGTCCACCAGTACTTGGTAAATGTCCTGTGGGGAAGACTAGGCATGTGTTTAAGTCCCTCAAATTTCCAGTGATTGCTCCACCCTCATAACAGCC